TGTCCGAAAACCCACATGCTCATATATGCTCACTTAGTTTCATTTAAAATGTAAGTGCCAATGACAGTGGTGTGGAAAGTCGTATAAAGTCAAACTATTGGATACATACCATAGCGCATCATGTTGACCACCGGCGTCTATTAACTTCAACAAAATATTCTGAATGTCTACCACGAATACTCATAGTAGTGAAAATCTGACTGAAAAGGCTAATGAGAAGCAAAACAGTATTTCCACGAATTCTTTCCAAAACATGTCCGATCCCCCTAAAATACCCGGCTGAATATGCAACTATACCTGACGCATACGCTGCCTTTTATGCTGTGACAACAACTACATGTACTATACACCACACAACATGCTATGCTTCAGCGGAGATTAAGAAATATTAAACACGTATTAATAATCATCAATAAAAAGGAAAACACAGATGTAACAATAACACAAACCCACTGTTTTTCAGCTTATATCTGAGTCCTGAATTCATATTAATATGTTCTTCTTATCAATAATACCCTCTAGATCCAGAACTGACCAAGGAAGGGAAAGTAATACGGCTATATTTTCTCTTAAGGAACAGATAACATTATCCTCAAACCCTTCCGAAGGCCAGGGATTCATTGCAGTACATGATCCGAATAGCTGATCCGGGAACAAATTAATCAGGACACCGTGAAGGAGTAATAAACTCCTGCTGATGGATGGCAATACAATGCAGGATGTGGAGATGAAACGCAAATGTTAACTGAGAAAATGACTTATAGCCAGAAAGGGTGTTAATAACAGCGATTATTGTTTCTTGAGATTCCTTGACAATTTCAACTAAGCCTTTCTGAACATAATGCTCATTCTGTGGCTCCGTGATAATCAGTAAGATATTTTTCATTACAAAGTCTCAGTTCCCGTGGTATCTCCAGATGCTTTCTATAATGTTGTCCGTGTCAAAACAGTGACACAAAGGATTCAGACAGTTTCATTATTTACAAAGGGGTACTAAGGGTATATTGAGGTGATGCCATATTTGCGCGTATGACTTATTAAGAGTGTGTTTTTGTGCTTTAGGCTTATTACAATATTTAGGTCAATAACAAAGTTATCTGTAAATATACGATCTGTCTTTCAACGTCGAGACTTGATGTTGACGCGTGTTGGCGTAAATAGTGTGATGATTAACATGAAAGAACGATTTGCAAAAAGAAATAGTTTAATGATTGGAGTGTATGCCTGGGCAAAACGAGGGATTGATTCAGTTTAATGGCATTCCGAGTGGATCAAATTCATTATTCAATGGGTAGCTTTGATTCACAAGCATCGTTGAGTTCTTAAAACTTATCACTGATTTTTATGAAACTTTGTCTTTATTCCAACTGACGTTACTTTTACAAACGAACAATCTTAATTATACGAATTGTTCATACAAGAAACCTGGCATTGATTGAATATCTAGAAATATCCTTAATTATGTAAATCTGACAATAATAATATTATCTTAATATCTACAAAGCTCGTGTGCTATATGCATGATTAAGTCCTACGAATTTGGGGACTGGCGACCAAGTGACCGAAGGCCCGTTACATCGATGTAAATTATATTTTCTGACCCGTGAAAGCGCTATGCACAATTAATAACGTTTTCTTAGCACTGCATCGTGTATGACGTTCCGTCAGCGCTGTATCATGCATGACGTTCTGTCAGCGCTGTATCATGTATGACGTTCTGTCAGCGATGACTCATGTATGATGTTCTGTCAGCGCTGTATCATGTATGACGTTCTGTCAGCGATGACTCATGTATGACGTTCTGTAAGCGCTGTATCATGCATGACGTTCTGTCAACGCTGTATCATGTATGACGTTCCGTCAACACTGTATCATGTATGACGTTCTGTCAGCGATGACTCATGTATGACGTTCTGTCAACGCGGTATCATGTATGACGTTCTGTCAGCACTGTATCGTGTATGACGTTCTTTCAGCGATGACCCATGTATGACATTCTGTCAGCACTGACACATGTATGACGTTCTGTCAGCACTGTATCATGTATGACGTTCTGTCAACACTGTATCATGTATGACGTTCCGCCAGCACTGTATCATGTATGACGTTCTTTCAGCGATGACTCATGTATGACGTTCTGTCAACACTCTATCATGTATGACGTTCCGTCAGCACTCTATCATGTATGACGTCCTATCAGCACTGTATCATGTATGACAGGGTTTCATCAATCATGACCTGGTCCATAGATGATAGTGGCAACACGCATACGCTTCTTGTGATTTTCACCTACTACCAAGCTACCAAATCACTCACAAGGAACAACAAACTCTGTGAAACACACAACATTTTATTTTCAAATAAAACGAACAAAATAGATGTATCACAGACTGTAGTGACTACATGGACACATTTGAAAACGTAACAACAATACTCTTTTTGAAATTTTGATGAACAGATCAATATAACCAACGGGAAAAAATAATTGATTTCACTCAAATGTCTAGAACCATTCTTATGGCGCCTTAAAGCGAATCTGGAGAATAAAAGACCTTCAGAGCATAATAAAAAAACTCTTGTTGCTTCTTTGCATGAGATCTTTGTTACCAGATCCATTCCAGGCGGACTCCATTTATGGAAATATTTTACATGTCAGCTTGCAATTTCAGTAATGGGATATATATCAGAGATCTTATTTGTTTGCGACGTTAGTTCATCTGTACAATATTTCTTCTTTAATCTTCGCATGACATTGTTCATTTTGTTCTGCAGAAACAGGACAAATCCTAACAGATTTTAAATACAATACATTAACAGAATGTATGATGATTGTTTTGAGATCCTAATTTTTGAACTTCTTTTTATGGACAGAACTATTAAGTAAGTATTAGATGTACATTATCTTACAGATATGGCTACTTTGTTTTGTATGTCATGTGCATATTGGTAATTTGGATCTTTGAATTGTGGGCATTCAAAGGTCTGGCCGTACGTATCTTGTCTTGTCATCGTTTCAGCAGTTCCACATTGAATAGCAAATCGTCTGTGTTATCAGGCTTGTGTATCTAACTTTGTTTTGGACTGATTTCTATTGATACACTCACACGCACATGCACGCACGCGAACACACAACTCTCGCACATACACACATATATTGACAAAGCTTAATTATAATCTTAAAGTCACCGATTTTCAAATATTTTGATCGAAGTGTTGATCTGAACTCATCTCTATATATTGAGACAAGTTGGAAGTGTTTTCTTGATAACACATACACTATAACAATGTGTTATAAACCTTATACTAACATCAGTAAACGAATGGCAATAAATATTCTCTACATTCACTGGTATGGTCGCAGTGTTTCACCGCATAGAATGTAAGTGTTCTATGATTACAACATTACATATTCAGATAATCTGATAAACATAATATGATGATATATGAATCTTATATACAGTTTCTCTAAGCACATTCGACCTGATACACAAAAATTGTTTCAGCATTAATAGTTACCCACCGAAATTCCAATTTGACCCAGGAAGTTATTTAACACCTTCTGCATATCTGATCGATACCATGCAGAGTGAAAACGAGAACACGAGAAAAGATTAGGTTAGAACTGTAAAATGCCTGTAGATAAGGTTGCTCTTAAATATCTAACATCTTGTTGAACCATTAGCAAACGTAGTGTATATTTGACATTTTGGGGTAAACACCAGTGCCCTCTTTGGCATCAACCAACATTTAAAACTATACTACCCATCAAAAGTTTAGACTCCCTTATCACTATATGCTATGTATATATGTATGGTTACATCGAAGATGAATTTGTCCACTAACTTGGGGGAACCAACTGAAAACCTTATGCAGATGAATTGCACGAGGATCATGCATCAAATTGTTGTAAAGCATGTGCAAATATCATACATGTGAACGGCTGCGTTTTGGTGAAAAGTTTTGTTACGAATTCGTCAATTTTCACTGAGTTTCATCATTTATTGAACTCATGACAATAATATTTTCAACGTTACAAATGTGTTTTACAATACATTAGTTCATGTGTAAACATTACCTTAAAACAGTATGGAATGTTTTGCAAAATTTATTTTAGAACAGTTGACTTAAGTAAATGGCTACATTTACACAAGTGAGTCTAAACCTTTGATGTGGAGTATATATTGATTTGTGCGTGTACAGCACCTGCATAATGTGCATGTACTTTCAATACAACATCTTAACACACATGAAATATGAAATTTATACATAGTGTATATTATTGGTTTGTCATTATTGAATGAGTGTACTGATTAAGCACCATTCTTCAGGAGATTCCTCGTTATATTGATTTAGAATAATACAGAACCCGTATATCGAGGTGATATATCTGTGTAACATATGTACATAAACACCGGAATATATTTATTTCAGCTATCAGCAGAATAACATAGGACACACTGCAACTAAATGCACAGAAGGAAAGCTATGGTAACATTACAAATATATACTTAGCAACACGTCAGCGATTATACTACATCACTTGGTCAATTACAAATGTATACATTCCTTTCGTAAAATAGTCATAGAAAATACTCATGGAAAACTAAAATAAGATTAAATTCTGATAAGTGTTGAGCGTATGCATATTTATAATTCTTCAAGGCCAGCGTGTTATATACATTCAAACTGACTATTGTGATAGGGACCCAGTGATAGTTATCATCGTCCAACAAACATTAATTTACCGTTTACTACCCGAGGATCCTATTTTTACTGAAAACATACATTTAATGATAATGTGGAAATTTATATAGCGGACATTTTCTCTAAAGACAAACTGCTTATAACACATTGTATTCCCACGAAGACACAACATTATGAAACTAATTTAAGCACATGTACAGGAAAACCTTGGAATTCTTCTCTCCGACTCAATGGAAATAATACAATTAAACGGTGAATAGATTGTTGCTGTGAAGAATACTCTCTACATGTTTTCATTTGAATTGAGTTTTTTCTAAATAATCACACACTAAATTGATAGTATTGAGTACATTTAATGAACATTTTCAAAGTATTCTCTTATACATGTTCATGACATTCTTTCCAGAGAGAACACTGTGCTGTCAAAGTCAACATCTTCTGATTTTAGACTTGATGACTACCGCCCAGTAACACACATAATATACAAATGTATTTTTTGACAGGCTGCTATGACTGAGAGGTAGAACCGCACAATAGCAAATCCAGCTGCGTTTCCTCCCAACATATCTCAGTCTGTAACTATTCTGCACTAATGAAACTGTGTCATTAAAACAAACGGTTTGCACATGTGCTATGTCTCCAAAGAATGAAAATGAACACATGTTTCTTGTGTAATGATGCCCACACCTTATACGTCTCTTAATGAATAAATCTCGACTTCAATCAATAGTGCATTTCACTGTCTGAACCATCAAGATGCATCGTCATGTCTTCATAACGATTGTGGTTCTCTGCTTAGAAATAGTTTCAAGATATCTATATCAGCAAACACACATCCACGGTCTGATAAAAATCCATTCTTGTGTATGATCAGACAAAGCACACCGTGAACAACATATCCGTCACGAACCATTCTGAAATGGACATAGCGCTACACCGCGCCCAATTATAATTCTCTTCAAGGACAATTGTCACGGATTGGACACCTCGATGACTCCGCGACAGACCACAGATCATCCTTAAGCTTGTATCCGAAACATCATCCTGATCTCTGAATTCAGTAACACGTTTTGTATAGTATCATTGATAAAATCATTCACAACATAACTTATTTTTCGCTTATCCCAGGGTTCAACCGTATCCTCACCTAAAAATGTTCTTCAAGCAAATGTATCAACACGCTCAGCGTAGTCGTCATCACTTAGACAGCATTTACGGTAGATCGCCCTGGAACAGCCGGCGAGTTGTCAATCATCAGAGGAGCTGCTCCTTGTCCTCAGGGAAATTTTAGTGTGAATTGTACCGTTCGAGCATGTTGCTCTTGATTCCAACTCATAGTCCGACCCAAACAGTCTCCTGCCAAGACATGACTGTGAATAGGACTCCTTACAAACGTATGTCCGACATGCTGTCTGCATGCTCTTCCTAAAGTTCCTGGACATGAAGCCATATATAATGGGATTCAAACACGACTGTATGTACGGAAGGCAATCAAACACAATCTGAAAAAGACAAATATATCATCATTAAAGTCAGACATTTACAACAGCATATTTTGGTATTGGTATGTTCAAAATTATTAAACGTTGACCCAGTGACGGTAAGTGGTAAGGAGAAAGCGAGTTTGGTTGAACGTCAGCTTGGTGTGTGAGTGAGTGAGTGAGTATGGCTTTACGCCGCTTTTAGCAATTTTACAGCAATATCAGGACGGGCGATTGTTGCATTCCAATTGCGTGGAAAGACCGTCGTTTTGTATCCTGCATATCAACTTTGATGCACATAATGATGATACATATATATTCATACATACATCCATTATTCCATCATAATTGAGTGAGTGAGTTTAGTTTTCCGCCGCTTTTGGCAATATTCCAGCAATACCACGGCGGCGGATACCGCAAATGGGCTTCACACATTGTACCCAATAGGGGAATGGAACCCGGATCATCCTCAGCGTGACGAGCGAACGCTTTAACCATTAGGCTATCCCACCGAAGGGAGGAAGGCCCGAAGAGATGAAGGCAATTTTGTTGAAACCCAAGATTATAATCAGGGTGAAACATAATCAGGTTGAAAGGTGATTCAAACGATCAGTTGTAGGTTTTGGGCGTGCCCAAAGTGCGTAATCTCGGTCAGCAAATAAACTGTGCCGCTTAAGACGGCAGGGTCACCCGTTTCCAGTTATTGTTCAGTGCATGCGAGGACGTCAATCACCAGAAAGGCATAACGATATCAATCACAGCAGAGGCTATTTTATATCTGACTTTTAAGTAATAATATGTAATGCCTAGACTAGTTAAATCATTGTCTCGTCACGATATGGCTGAAATATTGCCGATGTCAATTAAATATTATCTCACTCACTCACTAATCACTGTCAATATACAAATATGGATATTCATAACGAGCATATATTATACAAAAGACAGACAGTCGGGAAGTCCACGTCAATACCATAGGGGTCATTACATAAATGTCATTAGAGATGAAGCGGTACAATCTAGACTAACGCACCATCTCTGCATCCTTTGAGAATAGAAACGGTTCAAACTTGATTGACATAGGCCTCATTATCTGAAGAGTGTCACTGTCAGCTTTGGAGCGATGACTTTAGTGATTGTATGTCAGCGGACGGAGTGGAAGTGGGTCGACTTGATTATTACAACGGCATGTGTCCTCCTCCCCCACCCCACCCACTCTCTCTCTATGTTTCTCTCTCTCTCTCTTTCTCTCCCACTCTCTCTCTCGGTTTCTCTATATGTTTCTCTCTCCCTTTCTCTCTCTCCTCCCTCTCTCTTTCTGTTGCTTTCTCTCTCCCTCTCTTTTCTGTCTCTCGCTGTTTCTCTTTCTTTCTCTGCCTGTTTTTTTTCTCTCTCCCTGTCTCTCTTTCTCGGTTTCTCTCTCTCCCTTTCTCTCTCGGTTTCTCTATCTCGGTTTCTGTATCCTTTCTCTCTCCCTTTCTCTCTCTCTTTCTTTTCTCTCTGTCTCTCTCTTTCTCTGTCTGTTTCTCTCTCTCTCCCTCTCTCATAAATAACTAGTGCAAGAAATAGCAATGCACACCTATCTATTTAAGTGGTGCAATTTAGCACGCCATATCACAGCTCAGGTACAGCAAATAGAAATATTTCATCTTATTTGCCGTCAGTAACACCTTTGTTTAGAGTGATCGTGTATCTGTGTATCTGTTCATCGTGTGCAGCACACACGTGTTACACAACAGGCTACTGTAGACAAACGGCGAGGGTGGAATTACATTCTTGATCTTATGTGAATGCCACAGTGTCCTGGGGGATAAACATATGTTTGGCTTTCCAACGCATGCATTTGTAACTTCTACAGCATATCAGGTTCAAGAGCCAGTGACGGAGGAAGATTTTACGCCGTTGTAAGTAATATTGATCACATGAGAGGGACACCTAAAAAAAACGTTGCTGTCACCACGTGGCTATCCAACGTACCCCTTAAAGCACATCGTAGATTAGAACTAAATTGAACCATAATTTTGGATATGAATTGGACATAACGGATGGTAAGTAACAGAGACACCCACAACATAACTGCACGAAGAGCACATTAGTTAAACAATGGCTTTTAGGCTGATCATTATGAAAATATAGACTTATGATATTCGTATTTATAGATGTTTAATACGACTTTGGCTGCATCCAAATTAGCAGCAGATGCTGTGTCGGCAGTTAAACTGGCATTAATGTTCTACAATCAGTATTTTCTCAGGACATGCGTATGAAAGAAGGTTCCCAGAAAAACATTGTGCTATTTACATTACCTCCTTACGACAACGCCAACGGAAATAAAACAAACAGTTTCTTTCGATTTGGTAACATTTCGTTGCTTAAAAACCTTAATTGCTAAAATGGTCTCTACAGGTATCACATAAATGTAGTGATGTTTTACAATGTAAGCGTATTGGTGTAATTGTGCATCAGGTATTGTTACATATTTCATTTTGTTTTAAAAATAAATATGAATATGATGATATGAATCATTAAGATATAAACTTTGGAATGTTGTTACAAGAGTATACGCTTAACCGACTAGGGTTCAAGGTTGTCCAGACAGTCCTCTGAACACACGTCCACGTTTTCCAAAGCAAGGAAAGGTCAGCGTTTAGACCTTTAGTGTCTCTGGCAAACAACCAATTTGGGTTAATATGGACATTCGTGCAGTTCACGTGGGTATAGATGCTCCTCATTCTCAGCTGCTGCGCATGTCTGAATGGCGTCATGACTGAGATAACAAACAGCGCCACCTGGAGTTCATTACTCTAGTTAGGATCAAAGTGGGTAGCCTTATTTTGCGCATATTAGCAGTATTCCATGTGGGTCTTGACTCGACTGCTCTTGGCATCAGGTGTGATCGATTCTTGTATGAACAGGGTGTATAACGGTGTTGACTGAAGACATGAATTACATTCAAATCATCCCAAGCAATCTTCACCTGTGCGTTGAAGCTGTTACCGATTGATCTGTGGAACAATAACAGTTCAGCCTTCCCACCTAATTCCGCAGTATAGTGGCCTATACCCAGTGAGTTACTAGGGACCCAAGTGCTGACTCATACTAGGAGAGGTTCTATGAGTTTGAAACAATTTGCTTAATAATTATCTCAGTCTTTGCAAGCATAAACCTGTAACTCAACAATTCAAGCATCTGCATGATATTGTGCTTCAGATATACGGATATTTATATAAAATGTCAATAACACCGAATTATCCCGTCTCGATCTGAAACGGATTTCGCTGGGCGTCAAAATAGCGGTGATAAGTATATTGCGGGATGACTCAGTACTTGATGCCTATTGAAAAGTGGATCAGATGTCCACAATGACTGCTGCGTGCAAAGAGCACTGACATTCAACTAGCCGGAGACATTCGGGCTATCCTTATGTAGAAGAACTGTTTTTGATTCAAGGACGTAACGACGTCTTTGCGAGTGAGCTGATTGTGTGCTAGGTTGGCGGTCGTTTAAGTGAACGAGGGAAGGAGCGGTGTCTTATTCTGCCTTCAACAATGTCCAATATTATTACGGATGGTGACACCAGAAATTGCTTCACACATGTCAAACATGTGGCAAATCGAGCCCGAGTTTTCAGCGAGTTACCCACCTGACGTTGTATAATCGGAATAATACCCACAGTTGTGCTTTAATGTTTAAGTTAAAGTTACTAAATATATGTTGATCGTGGTAGCACGAAAGAGATTGAACATATGCTTTTCAGTACTGTTTCGAAAGACATTGAAGTAATTATTTGAACAGCAAACCAAAAAGGAAAGTCCGTGGCAAAACTTACTTAGATTTTCAGTTTTGTAACTGCAGCCCGTCTCCTCCAGATATTGCACATTGATGCTGGCATCTGTTTTATGACAGTACACACACATGAACCATACAGGTTATAAAGGTGGTATTACTTGTACCATATCAAACAGCTTTAAGACAAGAACCAAATCGTGTTACACCCTGTGAACGCTGATGTACAATAATGGAATGATAACACTGCCACTGGGGTGTCTAACAGTATTATTCTCTGATAAACGTATAGTACATTGAAGGAAATGTGTGTTTTCATGCAGTGACATTGGGAAACGAACTAAGAATTCTTTGCAATTTCAGCCAGTAAGCCTACATGCTCGGTTTAGATCCAGGAATAGGATTCTGTTTATCAAAAACGAATCTTTTTGCAGAAGAGCATCTTCACAAATTGTAAATAAATAATAGGTCTGAAATGATGAGGGTTAAAGATAGATACATGTTTCATATATGGGGACAGTGTGTTTACACAAACAATACCTATCATTCCTGTATCGAATAAACGCAAGCTATTAGGTGTCAGACTTGCTGTCTGGCGAGAAATACCAAATATTATCTGTAAACATTGCGGCTGTCTCCATATGTAATACACTGACAAGTCTTAAAAAGTTTTAAAAAGTATTTGTAAAAGCCGTTACAGAAGACTTAGATCTGTCGAGTTATCATTATCGGCACTGTATTTACTCTTGCAACGTTCCAAGATTATATCTGTTGCACGCTTTCATCGAAAAGGTGTGAGGTTTCCGTTGGAACATAACGCGAAGAAAGTAATTAGCCCAAGTCTTACGAATGTAACATGAAAACACAAAGTGACCTGATCGTAAATGTTAACTAGTTTAGTTAAACCCTCCAGGTCATTATGCTGCTGCCATGGTATAAAGTAAACATTAACAACCTGCATATTTATACTGTACCGGTTCCAATCCTGAAGCTGGCTCAAAGCCCTACATTGTTCCCCCGGCCCTGTAATCAGTGTGTGTAATTTTCATTCTCAGCCACTTGAGGCAACTTCAAAGTAACATAATTATGCTCAGCGAATTGGGGTGTCTTTGACTGCCAGTCAGTCCATGTCCTAACAAGGCGCGGGGGCAGTAGTGTTTAACGCTGCTTTAAGGTCACGTCGTCATTCACCGGTTGATGGAAGCGTCACTACGATGGTATTACTTGTGAGTGAG